ATTCCGCGGGGTGCGGCGCGCGCGCGCGGTACCACCATGGCCGAGATCAGCACGAAATGGCGGCTCCTTTGTTGGTCCCTGTCCGAGCGGTCATCGCCGAGGGTTTTTACCCCGTCGGAATCCACGAAACACTTTTACGTACGCGCTGGGCCCATTGAAATGCAACTCGCGTTCCCGGTTGCTCCGTCAGCTCTTCGTCCCCTGTGCCCAGGCCCCTCCCCTCCCACGCTCGATGCCTCTCTGCGGAAGATCACTCCCCGATAAACCACTAATCTGCCTCTCTTTCGGTGCTCCCGATCAATCTTGTCGTTTTTCTCGATCGCCAGGGGAATATCGACACGGACATATAAGTACCGCTGAACGATAAAGACTCTGAAATAAACGGGGTGGTCCCCGCGGTTAGAAAGAGCGAGGAATTGGGAGGGGGTTAGGCGGCTACCGAAGCTTATTAGTTATTTTTGCATCGAGGAATTTGTTCGCCGTTGATGTCCTCTCGCTTGGACGATTGGGACTTGCCGAATCGTGGACCGCTGTCGACGCGATCGGTAATTTCAAAGGAATCTCGTAGACGTTCCGAGCTTCGTGAAAATTGCGATCGCTGGCAGGAACTTTTAGGACGATCTAATACAATGGAAAATACGGACCCGATCAGGGGTTGCTAGTTCCGTCGCCATAATTTGGTTTAATCGTCTTCTCGAGCAGTGTCTTTTTTAACTTGATTTACAACCTAGTCGCTTTGAAATCTAGATAAGAGACAGGAAAACGTGTAAACGACCGGCCACGACTCGAACCGTGACCGTACGACGAGAAAGAGGCGGTTCTTTCGAAAAGCGAATCGAAGGCGCTCGATTCAGGGCCAACGAAACTGGGCACAATAGCGAAAAAGGTTTATTGCTCGTAAAACCAGACCGTTCTTGCGACCGGGATTGACCACACGCGGCATCCTGGGAATCTGTTCATTTATTTCGCATTAAACCTGGACGAATTTTATAGCCAACTAAAGTCGGACGCGACGACAATGTCGTTAAGATACCCGTGGATAATGGATTTATCTTGGCGCCGACCACCTCTCGCGATGTCGCTTTATCCCAATCCCTCGAAACTCCCTTGTTTTCGACACTGTACGACCTACCCTAGGATGACGATCGACGTATGAACAGGCGACTAAGTAATTTAATCGAAAGTAGCTGTAATTTGTGAGTAGGAAATTGTTCAAATGCGCCCGTGATCACGCACAAGTTTTACCAAAGTGGATGAGCATTAATTGAACAATTGCACTGCACGTCGAATGAGTGATTCTCCGCAATTTCATTTGCACGAAAAAAATTCTGCCGCCCTCCCCGCCCTCGCTATTGACTGCGAATACTGTCTCTATTGTGTAACGAGTAACGGAAACATTCCTGAAATGCCAGGCAACTCTCGAAATCAACAGCATTTGACGCTGAAAATATCGATGTTCTCGAAGGGTTAATTACTGATGCGTCAATATCCAATAGGTATTTATCGAATTCATTCGCGGGGTAAATTCGAGATATCCCTGTGAATTTCGACTCGTTCGATAGTTCCCTTCAAACGCGAACGACGACTGCAGCGAGCGTTCTGCGAAGACCGCATTTTTCGGTGAAAACCATTTCCGCGACTTTGAATACGAAGCAAACGGAGGTAATAAAACACTCGGACTCGCGGTTTCTCGTTGTACTTTGCATCGTTCGCGAAGAATGACTGATTTCTATGGTCGGCACAATCAAAGAGTCGCATTGCTAGAGTTCATTATCGCGGAAAAACCATAGCTGGTCTTTTATGTCGTCGGAGAAAATCGAAACGACGATTAGCGACGCGAGAGGAAACGCCGGGACGTTTAAAAAGGAATGCGCCAATCAATCGACACGTATGAACCTTTATAATTGTGTGGCTCGATCGCCTTTTTTCGACGACGTGAAATGACAGCCAGGAATGAGGGCCACTCGGTTCGTCCATTTCATACGAAGTTATGAAGCAATTCAACTAGAACATGTTCTCTGTCGCTCTTATATGCTTTCTTTCTCATTATTGGTTCGTCGTTTGGATAGCCTTTACGTACAAACGAATATACCAATTGTTTGAAATTCCGCGACGGTTGAGGGAGAGGTTGCAATTGAAGCATTAGAATAGAAACAAGAGGGATAAGCGCGTACACGTGTTCGAAAGATCGCCAAGTGTACTCGTGTGTTCGTTAACTACGGAGATAAGGTGCCTATACGTAGGTGACACGTGCTACGAAAATACACGCCTAAGGACTACTCGGAGGGAAGCGACAAGATAAAATTAGAAGGAGAGAAAAGCGCGTCGTCGAAACGTTTGTTTTACGGTGCCGCCCGGTTCCACGACATTCGCCGCAATTTTTCTTTCCACGTCCACTTACGGCACGGTGAAACGCTCCGATTCGGTGAACAGAAGGGTCTGTTCGGTGAATTAATAATATCGTCCCGAAACGTCAAATAACATCGCGAGGAAATAAGCATTCGCGATGCTTCTTCCATTCGTTTCCACGTGGGTCGGCTTTGACACGCGACACTTGTGAGAAAAAGAGAAGGAAACGTGCGGACTGTCGTGTAAACTAATATTTCGTTGAGTTTTTGAGATATCGTGTGGAAAGTTAAAAAAAGTTGCATGCTATTGAACGTACTGAATCGTACTGAATATCGTTTTTAGAGGAATGATAATTTGAATTTCTAATAAATGGAAAATATTCGTTTGCGTACATACCCGTGCTGCGCGAAAGATTGTGCGAATTCTTTGGTACTAGATTCGAAATATTTGGTAGAATATTTCTGAAATGTCGGTGTAACGCGTCTACGTTCATCTCTGTGCAGTAACGTTTCTGCGTCCTCGCAGACGATATCGTTAAAACGTTATGAAATCATGAGAAATTTTAGAAACATATTTCTATTCATATTTTTTCTATAATTCTGTTTAATTTTACGATTCATACTGCAGCGTTCACGGAATAAAGAATTGATCTACGTATGAATTTTGCTCGTCACTGGCGCGAAAGGGTAATGGCGGGCACGATGAATTATCCGCTAGTTTTGTTACTCGCGTAACTCATTTAGCGAACACGCAGCCTCTTGTACTCCTCGTTCTCCTTGTACATATTTACTTTTTTCCGAGGGAACGGCGTCTCCGAATGAGTTATCGCGGCGAAGCCTCGAGCCCCACTCAATTATCTTAATGAGCAGAAACGCCAATAGCGCGCCACGTTTTCGGGGCTACGTCTTTATTTTTAAACCTATTCCCGCGTTGACGAATTTGCGGACGCCAGTCATCCTCTAAACGGAACGCCCCTGGGAAAAGTTTCCTTTCCAAGATTTTTCGAACACTGTGGTTTCACGGTACTTCAACTTTATACTACTATCTACTTCATAGAGTAAGGGGTAAGAAGAATTGATTTTAAAAACGTTCTTTCAACAATGGTCCATAAAATTTTGATAAAATCACGAAAGAAAAACGTAGTTATTCAGTTTGGCTTATAATAGGCCCATGTATCTTCCGCTCCCTTGCAATCTCTAAATTCCTTCCGTCGATTAATAGACGAAACTGGTCACGATTTTTCCAAATAAAATAACACATTACGTAACGACGTAGGAATCGTTAAAAGCGAAGAATTTTAATTCCCGCCTGATCACGCATAGAAAACCATTCTAGGAAGATCCAACCATAGTCTTCACGGAAGAATGCATAGCTTCCACGTGACGGGCAGTGCGTTTGCTCCTCACAGGGGCAAATGTCCCATTAAATCGACGGTTATGTTCCTAACGGGATTTCCGTGTGCAGGAATTGCGCGCACGTAACGTGTCACCTATTCGACATATCCGTGTATCATGGCGTCCGCCGCGCGGTCACTTGATCCCGACTATGAATGAAATTTTGCCTCGTTCTGCTTGATCTGTCTGGTATTCCACGCGAAAGTATTCTTCCGTCAACGTTATGCATTAACTCCGTCGTGACCGAGCATACTTGACCCTAAACGACTCCGAGATGCTTCGAGATACAAGAAATATACGCCGCACGGAGTAATTACACGATCACCTATGCGAGGGACACGTCAGGCATCTCCAGCATCCTATGGAAGTTGGACGCTATTTAAAAACGTTGCCATTTTAAATACGAGCCACCTCTATCATCTCCAATGCCTCCTTGCTTTCCTCCGAGTTACCTAGAATTACCGCGAATCTTCGATCGAAACCGTGAATTCCAAAGGACTTTTGACAGATACCAAATTATACAAATCTATCTACGATAAAAGGAAAAAAAGGAACACGGAAATCTTGGCGGCGTCGATCCGTTCGGATTCCGAAGGGCGAAAAACTATTTCTGGTAGTCACGTGCGAACCGCAATCCCGCGAAAGTCCCCAGCGCCGCGTTTTCTCTTTCCCGCGTCGGTTAACTTAGATTCCACGACGAGCCACCCATCAAAATGATAAACTCCTCTCCTCCCATGAAAGAAAGCGGGACGTAACGTCGGTGCATTTATTTTCGTACACCACTTTCCCCCGCGTCGGCTGGATAATAGCTCGAAATTCCTACTGGGGTCTGCCAAGGTGGGAATGTTCGATTCGTGAGTAAATCAATCTTTCTAATCCGATCGTCCGTGTTACTCAACATTAATATTTATACAAATATACGCTTAAAAACATCAAATCTACCATTTAATTTAAACAAATTTCTTCAATAGATATAGAGAGTACGAATATTTACGGGATTGATTGTATGTCATCGAACAACCACCTAGGGTTGACTCTACCTTCGTCGAATCCCGCGATCAATTCTTTCCGTACAGGAACCGTACGTTCCCACCGCGAGGCCGCGACAGCTAGAGGACCATGGTGTCTGTTCGTTCCAGTCGTGGCGCCACCGATCAAGAGATCCGCGTCGGTATGGTAGAGTCGTCGTTCGATTGCGGCGTTGCCAGTTCCACGGGATTCCGACTTCGAATGGAGGGGGGCAACTAGCGACGTTGAAACTGGAAATACACGGTGTAACGGTGGTGCGCAACGAGGGCGAGGAAAAAAAGCGGTGTCGCGAGAACGTGAATTCGGTCAGACCTGGTGGACACGTGGGTCATGTGTCGGTCGCACGTCGCGGCTGCACGCGTCCTTGCACGACCCACGCGACGTCGCGGTGCCCTAGCTCGCGGCGTTCCACGAAATTACGCAATGACGAGTCGTCACGATGGAAGACACTGCGTGTTGTGAGGTGACACTGGTGCTCCGTTCGCTCGAGAGCTTCTTCGGCTCGTTTCTCGTGGACGAACAGTACGTTGGTCTCGGATGATCGAGATTCCACCGTGTTAAGTTTGCGTGGCGAAAGAGTTCTTCCACGAAAACGGAGCGGAACGGTCTGACGACGACGGTTCTCTGTGTTCAAGGTTACCAGCATGAGTCTCTGGCCACGAAGACGATTTCGTGTCACTCCGCTACGAGCGTTGGCGGCGTTTTTCCTGATGGTGGTGCTGTTCTGGTACAGCCTCAGTCGGCAAGAGGCGCCCAGACAACCGTGCAGCGTTCCTGAGGAGTTCACGGATAAGCTCCACGAACTTGCCTACAGGTGCACACGATTGACTCCTAACTGCTGACCGTGGATAAGCTCTTATCAACAGCGCGGTTGGCAGATAGGTTTTATCGTAGCAGAATGGCTGACTACGGTTGCACGAGGGGTGGCCTAAGTGTTGCATGCGATTGGTTCGGTCTGTTGGATCGAACTACTTGAACTGTTTGTTCATTTATTGAGCATGTGGCTCACAGAACTGGATAAATTGTATTCATTAATTACAATTGAGTAATCATTGAATGCTTGCTTTGCATTGCTTTGCTTTTGCTTGCATATTCCTTTTCGTCCTGACGTCCCCAATGTGGGTGTCGGTAGTCTGTTGGGCCTCCCTATAGTTTGGGCATCTCGGAATCGCTAGAGCTGTACCGTAGCTACGATTAAACATAGCTACGGCCCCTGAGGACCTCAAATAGAATAGACATTAAATTCGAATACAATCGCTAAACGCAGAGATCATATGTATACATATCCGAGAAATACCAGATAATTTTGAGCAAAGATGCATGATTGCGAACAAAAATGGACCGATATATCGCTCTTGGCACTCGAAGGGTTAAGCTACGTAGCAAATAAACCCGGAAACGAGGCTGCTTAAACCTTAATTACTTTCATTCTTCGGCAGAATTCGAATCACCGACACGTTAACCGTGTATCATTGCATTACACAGATAAGCATACATCCAATTCCACGCTCACGAGCTTTTCACCTGATTCCCTAATGAATCACGTTCCTCATTTAACGTCACGAGTCGGACAACACCGCATTCACAAATGTTATTCCGCCGCGTTCCGAATCGTTTCCGTTAAATCTGCCATTAAATTCCCAGCCCGTTACTCGCGTATCCGTCAAATCTGCTGATCCTCTAAACAGCGAAACGGGGTCAGACGTGGGCGGCCAAAAGTTCCCTTTAATTACGAACCGGCGAATCGTCGATTTCGGTTTCGCGGTTGGCAGGGGAACATGCAAAAATTATTGACTCGGCTGGCGTTGGTTCCCTCGTACATGGACATTGCTTGCGATTGAAACGTCGATTCGATGGACGCCGTTAACTATTGCGCCAGTGGACTAAAGTCGGAATTATTTCTTCTTTGAATGAAGTTAAACGAGAGTCTTAAACAAATTGATTATCAGAGCATGTGGACAAAAAGTCCATGATGGAAGGTGTACTAATTCGTACACCAACCATCGCAGTTCCTACGCCAGTTAAACCTTGGAAATGTACATATATTGGTCTTGCTAATATGCACGCCATTAGCCTAACACACTCCTACTGTCGATAGTCTTGGCATGTGGAACCAATCCTCCCGCTATCAATTTCCTCAATCTATATAATTAACGTCTGGTGCGTGTGATCCCCGTAGGGCTCACTTGGTGTTGGCCAAGTTGGGCATCGTGCACTTTCTGTGCCTCGGGGGACTTTGGGGTCAAGTTCGAATCGGTCGCGCGCTACCCTGGGCGCGTAAGGTCGAGCTCTGCCTGGTGGACACGCTAAGAGACGACGTCCTAATCACGAAAGCATTCCGCGAGGTTGGCCTAAGCGCCACGTACCTGCACGCAGCCGGAGTGTACCGAATACAGGAGCACGAAGTCGGCGAGGACGCGCCCAAGGTGGAAGTTGTCGTTTTCGAGGAGGATGCGGTGGTGAGCTCGCCATTAATTATTATGGCATGGCTTTAATTTAATACCTACCCCTAATAATTGCAAGGGTACACACAGGGTGATACACAGCACGTATCTAAATCAAACACAAATCTACTCAAATCCGTGATATCGGTACGATATGGTTTGAAATGTTAAGTATGTTACAATTGTCGGTAGCATCACCGAATTTTAAATATTCTTCGTTTCGGAGACACGTATCATTTTCTGTGAATTTCCTGTGCTCTTTCCATTTACAAAAGGAGACACACATCGGCGACATGCCACCGATTGTCGAAACGCGCGAACTCGTAAAATCGTTCAACGTCACCAACTAGCCGTGTTATTTGCGAACGAACATGCGAACTTGTAACGATTCGCGGACCTATCGCGAGCTGGAAATTTAACGCCGCAGTATCGTCCGTTACGATTACGTTATAAATTCGGCGACGAGTCGCGAATATTTTGTGGGATTTACGACGCGTGTTTTACGTATGGTATAACTAGGGCAACGGAAAGTTGCTCTTTGGCATGGCTTTTGGCAATAAAGCGGACGAACTTTCCTTTGCTAACATCGCGTGGCTTTATTACGGTATAACCTGTTAAGGGCCGCTCCGTGGGAGAGAAAAATGTGGAACGCGGGTACATCGGGATGATGTAGGACTTCTATGCCGCGTTATCGTACAGAATAGGAATCTTTGGAAGCGATCAGTGCGGGGTAAATCGCGATAAATCGCGAAAGAGACGACGTAACTTTCATTAGAGGAATTTGTCAGCGAGCCTTAATTTTAGAGGATAGTCTATGTACTTAATATTTCTATAAACGAGGAAGTTTTTTTTTTCTGTTGCAGACGCAAATGGTAAGGAGAGTCGGTTGGACAAGAAGAGTACTGCCTCCGGATTGCGAGTTCTCCCCTAGCCTGCAATGCTTCCCGCCACAGTTGGTGATTCCTCCCTTACCGGCGAAACAGTTCGGTGGACGACTGATGCCTGTACCTAGGGAGGGTATAGAGCTCCAAAAATATCACTACCCTAATGACTGGTGGCTCGAGGTGAAGCCCACCGATTGCACCGAGCCTCAAGAATCCGGCGCGTAGTACTAGGTCTCGTTGCGACGAGAATTCGCGCTCGAAAAGTAATCCTATCGCCAAAAAGTTGTCCACTGGGACTCCTAAACTGGAACAGGATCCCTCAGCTAATCCTATGGACGAGATCAGTCTCGGTTATCTCGGTAACCAAATTTTCACCGATCGATTTCGTTTCTAGCGATACGATCCGCATGAGAATTTGAGGATACGAACTGTGGATGGTACTAGTTTTATTGTAAAACGGGTTATTTATTTGAAATGATTGCCACATTTGGAGTATCGAACTTCCATTTGTAGGAATTAATTTTCTTCCAGTAATTAATTGTTTCATGAATGTACACGATGAACGGATTCCGATAGCATCGCAGACGGCTTTAGGAACTTTAGGCTTAAGTCTATGTCTGTCCTTTTCGATAGCGCAGTATTTCTCATGGACTTTCGTATAAGTACAACGGAAAGTGAGACTAATAAGTTGGATAACCAACTTAACACCTTTCGATATAAATTGCATTATTTTTCTCACTTCACCTGTAAATATATGCCCTCTGGCAATGATTCGATCATCCCCTGATCGAACGTTATACATAGTCATTTCCATTGGTAGATCCTCGTAACAAGTATGGACTTCACTGTCTTCTTCACGTCACGTGTAAATAACCTAGATGAAAGTTAAATACTTATAGACTAGAAAAATTGTTCTTTCGTCACGTGCAAAGCTTGATGAAGCAAGACTAAATCATCCTTGAACATTTCTCACTTTAATTTGAAGATCTTGATTCGAAGCGTCAAAACACACACACACACACACACACACACACAGAGAGAGATAGAGAGAGAGAGAGATCGATTATACGCTTTCCTCAAAGCTTTGATAGTAGAATTATTTATACGTATTCGTACTGTTTTTTATACACTATACCAAGGAAGAAAAACATCTGTCGCTAGGGTTTTTTTTAAGTTTTCTACATTTCTAAGCGCGACACCTCTCTCGAACTGACGTTAAGTTAATCTTTCGGCTGTAAGAATATACCGAAAGTTACACCGTCATCGTGATTCCATCGGTTAATGATGTCTTCGTTCGCTGAAGAAGCAATCGTAGATTTGTGAATGACAAAAGTGTACGATACTCGATTTACTACAAATCGTTAACTACGATAATTACACCTTCCGTTCTGGTTACTTCGTTTCGAATTACATGCACACACCACTCGTCATATTTTATATGGATGCACGCGTTTGTATGCAATGTATTTCCTGAATAATGGACCGTCTGCATTATTGTAGTTGTCTCTTGAAACCTTCCACGAGATTAAATATTTAAAAATACGTACGAAAGAGACGGCAGTGTTTTAATCCAACTTCCGATTCCTGTAATATTAACAAAGAAGATATTAAATATTGAAACGTTGCTTTCTCTGTAGCGAGGAGAAAGGGCAGGGTTATCTGCTGTCGATAAGGTACAAGTACCTTGCGATATTATGGATTCTGTTCTAATTATGGGATTTTTATTATGGAAATTTCAATCGCAATCGAAATGAAAATTAAGTATCTACATTAAAAATAATTATTTTTTTTATTGCACAAATTACATTACGTTACATTGTTACACAAATTGATAGAAATTGTTAGTCAACGAGAATTAGTTACATTTAATAATAATAGCTTAGCTATACCAACATCGTTTTGTTCGAAGCCTTGTAATACGAAAACAATAACATCGGACGCAAGTTCTCTTGCACGAGTCTATTACGTGACACAGTTATGCTCACGCATTAGTCGTGCGGGTACGTCTAATCCCACACAGACTCGCCCACGCTCCCGAGCATCTCTAGAGCCGTTTTACGGCTGTCCCCGTTTACTATCCTCTCCGACGGAAAGCACTCTCTCCTCTCGCTTACCTTCCAACGTCGTCCGAAGCCATTCCCGCGTCTTCAGCGCAACGTTCAAATTAGGACTCTCGGGACAGAGTGTCCCATTTTTCCCTTAATACATCGCAGCGAAGAGCGGTCATGCCACGTTGTATCGTTCGCGAAAGGTGCCGTCAGTTGCAAGCAATCGTCCTCGGCTCTTTAATCGCTTCCCTCCACCATCTTTTCCTTTCCTCGTCTATTTCGAATCGCTTCATCCCTTCCGGTTACGCTCGCTCGTGGGGTCGAAGTATTTTAAAATGTATCGAGTCATCCCACAATGCCGAGAGCTACGAGTGCACTGAAAGCATCGTTGAGGTCTGGGTGTCGACCAACGAAAATAAATATATTCGAAGAACCACCCCTGCCAAGGTAGACTAATGACTAAGTCAAATAGACAGTTCATTGCGAAACTCAACGTTTATTCTATACGTTTAAACCTTCTGATTCAAGAGCTTATAAATATAAAAAGTTATGGCTATACCAAGTGCTTCGACACTTAAATTTAAGATTTTTCAAAAAGTGGAGTTAATCATATTTTCCCTAAATTAATTTTTATCCTAACAGGAGCCAACTCCGAACATACATCGCAATGTCAGTTTATGGTCCGTGAGAGGTGAGCATCAATTGCAAGTAATCGCCTGCGATATCCAATTACCTTCCTGCTTTATCTTGCCCTATTCCGTTCCGACTGTACTCGTCCACGTTCTTTCGCAACGCATCGCAGATCTGCCAACGACCGTGGCTGCAAGTTACGACGAGTGTTGCACTTTCGTCGCGGCATCGTGCAGCGTTCCTGAACTTCATTAACCGAGGTAGCTGGGCGCCTGTACACGTTGGATGTTTTCGGATTTACTGGCAGAAGCGGAAACGGGTATCTTTTCTTTCTCGATCCCATCAAACTTTTTGGCACCGGCGTTGTCCCAGTTCCCGCTGATCCTTTTATTATCCGTGCAGTTTCTCGGTATTAAAGTCGGTCTTCGTAAAATCGCGAAGGCGGGACCAGATACCGGAAATGAAAACGCTTCGTCGCATCCGGCGCAGGCTTACCCCTGTTTCATCCATTACAACGTTGTCGAGGGCGCAGTGTTCCCTCTCCCCACGCGCGACGCAATAATAATTCGAAGGCCAGAGGTGAGTAAGATTCTTGCTTAGATACAAGTACCTCGTAGAAAAGCACGTGCTACGTAGCAGGAATCAATTTTGATCAGGAATCACGTTTGCGTTATTTGACGTATCGTGTCGTCATTTCAGTATTATTTTTCAGTATTATTTCAGTATATTTCAGTATTTATTTGAATTTATATTAAAAAGGGAATTTTTAAAAACAATGTACATTATTTCGTCGCATTCCTCAACTTCTTTGTTTTATGTAGTTAATTGATTTGTGCGATGAGCGGCTCGTACAACAAATTACTGCATACAATGAAGGCTCCGGAAGCGGAAATATTTAGGGAAGTGCTGGTACTTGGAAACAATAAAATGTTGATAACAATGGCATTTTCGTGACAACGGAATACAGAATAGAGAGAGAGAGCAGGCCATTATAATAGTAGAATGGATGCTAGAGAATTTATGACAATAGCACGAAATGTCATTGTGGTATAAATGTCAAGAGATGTCTCCTGAACTTATCGTTTCGTTTGCTACTGAATTGTTATTATTTTCAGGGTAATAAATTCAATTGCACTATCTATATCTATCTTTTTTAGGTGACTCCAAGACCAACCGCAAATTTAATTTTATATCCCTAGCCAAAACAAACCTCAAAAACAGAAAGTAGTAATTGATACAATTACAGTTGGAATTAGTTTTTCAAGTATTATTTTGTCCACCATAGTCGTTGTGCAATCTAGTACGCAGCAACGTGGAGATGACAACTGAATTTGTCAGACAAGCTACTTGTAGTTTTCGCATAACAGAGGCCCGTCTGCGCCTCCGAGATGGCAACCGAAATGATAACCAGCCGGTTAGGTTGCCGTATCATAGGGGCACTGCTGCGCCTACGCAATGGCAACCGGAATGACAAACCGGCTAGTCCAGGTTGCCGTATGATAGGCGCAGCTCTGCGCCTACGACTCAGCAACCGGGCCTACAAACAGGTTAACATAGGTTGATATCTAACAGGGGCATACTCGCGCATACTTAATGACAACTAGAATTTTGTTCAGTACTCGCTCAGACCGTATCGATCACGGGTGAGTGACTAACTTTTTCGTCCACATTTAGACACTCCATAACACCTCTTAATTCCGTCTAACAACTAAAGAACTTCTAACATCTCCTAACAACACCTAACATCTTTTAACATCTCCTAACATCTAGCAATACCTTCTAACAACTTCTAACAACTATTAATACCTTCTAACATCATCTAGTATCTCCTAACACTTCCTGACATTTCCTGACAACTCCTAACGTCTTCTAACATATCCTAACATCTACTAACAACTCCTAACAACTCTTAATACTCTCAAAAAAATGAAGGGAATTTAAAGGGATATGTGCTAGGATATGGAGGAAAGTTAAAGTGAATTGGGTCAGGAAATGAAGAGAAGTTAAAAGGAAATGTCACGGATTTTGTTGCGCTTAAATACTCAACGACCATTTCGAATTGTCAGTATTCGGAACGAAAGTGCGACGCAACGTAGGCACGAGCTCGCCGCAACTTTCGTTGAACTTGAGGACTTCGTCAAACTGTTCCTGAAAGTGTCCGAAGCAAATAGGGCAATTTGATTCGCCTTCATCTCAGCAACGCGAAGGGTGAACTTTCAGCGTCGGTAGACTCGAGGAAAGTTTCTTTTGTTCGGAAGTTAAGGTGCTTAAAAGTATCCCTATTTATGCTGTCGTTCCCGAGAAAGAATCCTTTTGTAACCTTTCGTGTGACAATAACGAAATAAATAATTGAATAATGATAGGAATTATTAATTCATCGCTTCGTCAGGATTGCGTTCTAGTCGTACTGTTATTGAAACAGTGGAGGCTTACAAGCGGATCAGACCGTACAAGTACTATCAACGTAGGCCATGGCGTCGATCACGATGGTATGCAGGACATAGATCACCGAAGATCTACCATTCGAAGAGAACACCACCGGAAGGCTATTATTCTCGCAGACCTGGGTACTACAGGTATCTATGAATGCTATGCAAAGTGGGCTACGGCTCAATTTAACCGACTGGATAGCGATTTTATGCGCAAAAATGAGTTGAAAATTTGGTACGAATACTTATAGGATCAAACTGTATATACTAGGTAGTGCAGATATATGAAACAGCCTACTCACCTTCAAAAATATCGCTAACTTCCACTATTCGCTATTCATCCCATCGCTTCTAATCTCTACTACAACGGCATCGTCGTTTGTTTGAAATACGACGCACGTCTTCGTCCCCCTCGTTTTAACGAATGATCATCGCGGGACGATAAATGTTGTATCGATCCACTATTGAGTCCAACGACGGTGACGGATTATCGTGAACAAGCTTCCACGTCTGACGATCAGGAAGCTTACGCGTGGGACATGCTTCTACACGAAATCGATAGTAGGTCATTCTAACTCGCAATGCCATTATATGTCATCAGGTGTTTGGGACACCATTACGGTCGTTCAGAGTGTCGCTCTTAATGGAACGTAACGCTAACACTCTGGATCTTTTAACGTCATTTGGAAAGATAACGACGTGTGTTCATGCTCGAAAATTTCAGAGCGAAACGCTTTCGCTTCTTTAGATTTTGGAAAAGAATTGTATTATTTATATCGTACGAAAATGTTTCGTTTAGAGATAGTTACTTAAAACGAAATGGGTCAGGTGGATACTTAAACTCGTGTTCAAATCCTCTGGTATAATGTACGATACCCGTGATGTACAGTCTCGCTAGCAAAGCAATAATCTTATCAGCCCTTAGATTCCACAACAGCAATTTACAATTAATCAAAGATAATCTAGTTAATAACGGTTATCCACCTAAAACAAACACAGGTATAGAAGTCTGGCGTATGGTTTGTCTCTTTCATCTTGCGACTGACATTCAGAGGAGATCGAGTTGTTGTTAATATTAATTAAAACCACGATAGCAAATTGAAAAGGTAAATTTAAAGTTAATTATTTCCAAGAATTACGATCACCTGTTCTACACACCGATGACTACCACTTGCGTGTCACGTTCGTAATGTTACTTTTTCTAATTGCGAAATTTACCTGTTATTAACCCCCTGAGCTACCCTTCGAGATTACCGATAGATAGGTCTCACCCTACGTTTCTTAATGGAGTTTCTGGCACAAGGTCATACGATGGACAAAGATATACCACACTTCTACTAATCACTTTCTGATTACGCGCTCTAAAGAAATCGATACAACAAGAAACGCTAGAACGTTCCAGATTATTTTCTTCGCACTGCATTCAGCTATTCTGTTAATACCAAGAACACGATATGATGTGTAATAATGTGCGATACGATGAATAATAACTCCGACATTGTAGCATTATTTGGACTATATTATTACGCCCGTAATAATATTAAGCTCGAATATATATCGTCAGAGGTAATTACATCGTCGTAAATTGTATTATTTGAAACGGTGGGATTAATATGATTTGTGTAATTGGAAATTGTACCAATTTTCCATGCGACTGTAACTCGACTGTAACTCCGTGCTCGTTAACGGATTTCACGAAAGTTCAACTAAAATTAATATCGAATTTTATTGAAAAACCATGCGTGACGCGTTCGATTCGATTGTAGCTCGATCGGAGGCATTCGGACAAGGCGTTTTCGGTGATTGGATCGAACATTCGACCGCTAGTTATTGGCATAGTAATTGACGGTTAGAGTTATCTCGTCACAATTGTTTAAATTAGTAAAATGTATATGAAATAATGGTGTAGTATACTTGACGATCAATGAAATAATAAAATTGATTAGAACCAGTTTCATTTCACTTTTCATTTCATTTTTTGGGTCCACCTGTAGTTTCACAAGTAGACGTTCCCTTTCGAATTGTCTCGACTGACCAGTTTGATACTTACACTCGTTTCATTTACAAAGTTTGTCGTACTCCTACATGAAATTCCAGTGATGCAATCTTGCCACTGGAATTTTGAATTACGTTGAGTTATGTCTGTTTCCACGTGCTGAGAGGACACCAAGATTTGATTTAAATTCAGCTTATCTCAGCCACTGCCGCCTTCTACACGCGAGAGAAGAATTTCTTGGATGAAAACAACTCCGTGAATGGAATATTTACGCTCGTGCAGCTTTGCATAATATCATTACCAACTGTTTCATAAAGCTTTTACAGGTAACTCCAAGGAAATCAACGTCGAAACGGTTTTCCTCTCGAACAACTATTTACGAGGCAGGCAGCAAATTATTTACTAAACGAGCAATATACAAAAATAGGAAATAGAAGAGCAGCTAAAAGGTCAAGGCACTGAGAATCCGTTAATTAATTTCTTTGGGCTTGCGAATCCCTTTTAAGGAGATGTAAATTTCCGCCAAGAAACAACAATTCGCTGGGATGAAACCGCTCAGAAGGGATATCCATCCCTTTTCGTTCCCTCTTCGTTCTGATACGTCTTACGCGCGGCTGCCTCGAATTATTCGCGAGAGGCGTCTCGTGTCTCTGTCGTTTTCGGCGTTCCTGAATTTAATACCGACGATCGAGCCCTCGAAACTCGGGGAATCGTTCTCGAGGGCCAGGGCGGCGAAGAAGCAGCAAATATTGTGTTCCAGAGGAGGGCGATCTCAGCCACGCGCCACTTGTTCCGCTTTTCTTGGATTTCGAGTGCCCTCGCGCTTTCACTTTGTTGTTTCTCGAAGTGTAAAGAACGGGAAGGGATGGGGAACGGAATGACATGAGCAACCGGGACGAAGACAGGAAAAATTCCTATCTAAACGGGAGCTTCGAGTAACGAATTCGAATCTCCTTCTGTCAGGAGGAATAAAACATATTGGTAAATAAATTTTAGTAGATGACACGTCGACTAGCAGTGCATTGAATGTCGACTGTCATACTTCTTTGTATCTAATTACACTTTTACGTAAGGGGCATGTTGGCATGTTGCTTTTATCTGCGTTGTCGCAAGGCTTCCATTGGCGTATCATTTTTATTCTTTTTCTCTTGAACTTAATAATGGCGGGAACATACAAGTGAAAAAGAGAACACGAAGTTTCGAAAGACGTTGTCGTTCGAAGGTTTCTTTCAGGCAGTTTTTCAATGTAGTTTTTATTTCTAACATAATAGTCAACGAACATATCGTAATAATAAATAATCGTAATAATATACAGTGCTGGTGTTGCCGTTCGCATTGTTCCGTTTTCACACTTCACCATTCGCTCGTTCGTGCGGATTTTCTTTCTTTCTTTCTTTCTCTCTCTCTCTCTCTCTCTCTCTCTCTCTCTCTCTCTCTCTCTCTCTCTC